GTACAGTGAATATGCGAAGTGTATAAAATCTACATAACGGAGCGGGTTGTGACAGATGTTATCAGAGCGAATTCCTCTCAAAAATGTTGAAGCTTGCATAAGCCCATGAAAGTCATGCCTTAAGAAAGCTAATCTAATTAGGACAAAACCAGAACTATATATGCAATAATGGTTTCAATGTTTTCAAAAGATAGTACCATCTACCATCTTTTGAATAGAACTGAATGGCTTCTTAATGTATACATAGGTAGGTACATACAGATAGAGAAAGAAAACACTGCAAGAGAATTCAATTTTCATGCCATACTATGAACTTAAATTTCTTCATTGATTAAAGCTATGATCAAGTACTCTGTAATGTAAACAGTGAATGAAGAAACATACACAATAGAGCAGAGATAAAAAGATTAATGTCCCATCCAAGCTTCCATGGTGACAAGTTCCTATCTACCACAACAGCCCAAATTGCTGATAATATGCAGTTGAAAAAGCATGTCGTAAAACGTATTTTCACTGGATATTGCTTCACAATAGAACCCTGAAAGAACCAAAATTTATCAAAGAGATGATATATAAATACACACACACACATGTAGATATATAGAGAGAGAGATGGACCTGCAGAATAAGCCACAAAGACCAAGCTATGTTGGCTGCAAGCATGAAAAGAGCACCTTTTATCCAATCCTCTTTGCTGATGCCTTTGAAACTTCCTTATGCACAAGCCCCTTGAAAAAAGTATACATCATGGCCCCCGAAAGACCTACCACACAACCCAACACTTTCGCTATTCCATCCCATTGCCTCTCTCCGTCCTGAAATGTTCAAAACCATTAACACACACAAAGAGAGATACACACACACACACACACACACACACACACATATATATTAGTTTCTTTTATGTTTACCTTAAGACAACAGCTATGACAAAGACCGTGGCAGGAATTGTGTTGGTCATGGCTGTGGCAAATGTTGCAGAGATGTATGTTATTGCATAATAGTAGAGATTCAAAGCCTTAGTAATCCTGAAACTTCACATACATGAAGGATTGTTAATTGGAACAATATATTTTAATACTATATATGAGTTCAAAATTAAACTTTGATTACATTATTGTAAATAAAGTCCAAATTTTGAACATACCCACATAAAGAAACAAAAAAGAGCTTGCAGAGCAAATAGCATGACAGGGTAGCAGTTTTATTACAGCAAATTTAGAAGAAATTAAAAATCACCATCAGAAACAATCATATATATATATAAGTGGGAAATCATAAAATTAAATTAAAGAAGTGTTTGGGTGATTAACCTTTCAAGGAAGAAAGCAAATGGAGCCAAAGCAAGTGTGGCGAATCCTTGTCGATAAGTGACGAACACGGAGGATTTTGCTCCTTCATTTGCTGCTGCTTTGGACAACAAGGCCATGCCTGCATACACAAACTGTATGAAGATCATTGCTATGTAAGGGTTATGCTTCTTCATATCCATTTTACATCGAAGAAAAGCCTTCATGTTGTGCAGTGTCTAATTTTGGCCTCCTTTGAGGGGATTTAGATTTTCAGAAACTATATATTCAGTTTATATATATACTGAAGCCTAGCAATCAATGGTTTCTAGTTAGTGAATAATGGGCTGCCATGTTAAAATCATGAGCATGGTTTTGTGTTTGCTTTACTACTTTTTTTATTTGTATTAAGAGTGATGTTATTCACTTTGACTAGCTTAGTTTAAACTTTGAAATAGTTAGTCAAAGTGATGTGTTGTAGCAAAAAGGGTCAAGCTACTTACCCCACAAGCCCAAGCATTAATTTTTTTTAAAATTTTTTTTAACAAAAAATCAACCCATTCGCTATCCACTTTCGATTCTTAGATGGTTTGTACTCGTATATCACATATATATATATTTTAAACTCGGCTATTTCCGGGTTAAACACGGATTCTTCGAAATCATCCGATAAAAATTGATCAGCCGCCCGTTTGACCTTTTGACTGTCCAAACGGGTTCCAAAATCTTCAACTAACTGTCCTGCATCATGCCTCCTCTAGTTTCTCTCTCTGTTCATTAGAGTCACTATTCCTTATTGTGTTAAGGTTCTATGTTCATCAAAGTTTGGGGTTGATCCCAGTTTGTGTGCTGTCTATGGGATGGCTTCTATAATGTCCCGATTTTTTCTAGATTTTTTTGAATTTTTATTTTATTTATTTTTTGTATCTCGTTTTGTGTGCCACACGGGCCCCAAGGGCCGTTAAGGTCATTTTCTTGAGCCGAGGGTTTTAGAAGTGCATTTTAATTATTCTAAGTCAATTAGAGGCGACGGGATTAATTTTAGAATTTTTCGGAAGTTGGGACGATTTCCGGGCTCGGGAATTTCTCCCAGTTTTGCCATTTGCATTGAGGGGCGTTGTGGTTATTTCACACACATATATATACATATTCATGTATCTAGTCATTGGGGAGATATTTATGGGACAAGCATGGTATTGTGATGGATGAGTGAGGGCATTAAGGTAACTTAACCAAAAGCTAGTAATCAACCAAAGGTTGACACATGGCATTCTTGGGACCACATAATCAAATGGAAGACAAGGCCATCACCCCTCTTCCTCCTCATTCTCGACCACTTCTCCTTTCTCTCTAGTTCTTCCTCCTCCTCTCTCTATATCTATATACATCACATACTATTGTTTCAAGTTAAGATTTGAGATGTTTAGAATGAGAGTTTGATGATGACCAAGAAGGGAAAAGTGGGGAGCTTGGAGAGGGCTATCGTTTGAGACCACTATTGCTAAGGCTTAGAGGGATTTTGAAATTGGCTTGACCTAAAGGCTTGTTTGGCTTGCTTCATGGAGGTAGGGATTCCTAATACTCTAAACTTTGCCTTTCATTAAACAAAGATACTTGAATTCATTCTTGTATGTAGAAATGTGAATTTAAATGACTATTTGTTGATTGTGAAAGAATGCTAGTGTATGGTGTAAGAATGTGTTTATTTTCATGCTAAAGATGTGTATAACATGGCCTTGGTGCAAAAATTGTTTAAATATTATAACATGATTTGTGATGATATGATTTTGTGAAGAGCATGCTTGTGATTCTATTGTGGAGAATGCTATGGTGGTTATTTAATTTCTAATGAAATGCCATGTTGAGTTGATTTTCTAGAAAACGCCTTGTTCGTGCCATTATTGTTACATAAGTGAAATTGAAGTTCAAATGATGAGAATAATCATATGCATGGCATGGTGAGTAAATTGAATGAGAAGGATAATGGGCCATTTTAGAATGGTGAATAAATTGATAGAGATTAACAAGTTAGCCATCTTAGGATGGGCGGGAAAGATGGATTTAGAAATGGACCGGGTATGGCGAGCTCGGTGCTAACTTGACCTAGAGGGAACGCGGTCCGGTGTAGGACGTGTAACGTTGGTACTAGGCCCCAAATGGTCATTGTAATGAGGTCAGGGATAGTATCAATCTCGCCTCGGTAAAGTCGGTTAGCGTAGATGGAAATTGGGGTCGGTTTGAAAACAAGTTTGGGAAAAAGGATGCATTGCATTGCATTTACATTCATAGTCTGCAAAGTTGTATCTATGCAATTGACTGGATTGAAATGTGGTTTGAATTCCGTAAAATCTTCAATGTATGATCCCGGTTCTCTTTTATCCCTAATGTGTATTGTGTGACTCAAGGAAGTCCAAAGTTGATGCCTCAGGTATCTCCTACTGAGCCTCCGTGCCCACCCCTTTAACATTTTTCAGGTCACGGTAAGGACGCGATTGACGAAGGACCCTCACAAGTGTAGTTAGGGTTGATAAATGTAATTTTTGCTAACTTTCGTAACTTTTGTACTAAATGGCCTTTTTTTGTAAATTTGGAGCCAAGCATGTTATTCTTTTGCAATTGCCTAGATGGCAATGCAATCCATTCTTTTGGAAAATGTAAATATCAATCCTAATTATTATTTTGTAATGTTTCCCATGAATGAGGGTTAGTATACCATGTGGCAGTCAAGGGGCTTTTGTGTCATTTCTCATTATGAATGTTTATGTATGATGCATTCTATGTTCATTCTATGTCTTGCATGTTTCCAGGTTTGCATCATAATTAGGTCCACAAATGAACCAAAGAAGTCGTCAATGACGCGGTCACTCAAAGACTTCAGAATCAGCCCCAGAGATGTATGTTATTGCATAGTAGTACAGTTTCAGAGCCATGGTAATCCTGAAATTACCCAAACATGAAGTTGTTAGAATAATTATAATACTGTTTATAGTTCAAGATACACTCTGATTACATTATTTCAAGGAAGTCCAAATTTTGAATATAACAATCACAAAACTAAGCACATACCCACATAAAGAAGCAAAAAAGATCTTGCAGTATAAGTAGGAAGACGGGAACAGATTTCTTTCTGCAAATCTAGAAGAAACTTACCATCAGAAACAATCATAAATAAGTTCAAATATATATATATATATATACCACAAAGAATAAAATTAACCTTTCAAGGAAGAAAGCAAGTGGAGCCAAGGCAAGTGTGGCGAATCCTTGTTGATAAAAGCAACAAACACATAGGGTATGTTCCTTCACTCACTTCTACTACTAAGTTAGACTAAACAGACCAGTGATACTCTCTGTGCCCAATATTTTATACTGGTTACATTCTAAAAGTTTGTTATCAGAAGAATGACAATGAAATCTGAACGACACTGAGTTATGCCCTGTATTGTCTTCTTTCATAGGTTACGGAAGGAGGTATTTACGTTACTTTATAAGAGACACTTAGATTGGTCTTATGATGTGCAATATAATGCACTATATCTTGTAACAAATTTGATATCATCTTCACAACACAAAATGAATAGGACAGAGAAATACAAGTCAACGAGGATAAAATTGAAATTTTAAAGTGAAAAAAATATATATAGACAAGAACATATATAAAAACTTACAAGCATATATAAAAACTTACAAGATGCAAAAATGCTCAGGAAGCTAAAGATCCGATAACAAGCAGTGTCCTATTGTAATCATGTGGAATGGAATTTGTAGAGTTGGCCTTCGTTTTGATAACTCTTTGGAGACGTTTCCCATTGTTGGCCGAGATTGGGGATTGACATGCAAGCATGCAAAAGCTAGCTTGGTGATAAATACTAATTCCTCTGCCACTTGTTCCGCTGGGGGTGAAAGTCGTTGATCCAACACATTCCTCAAGAGTATATCTCGGACAAGCAATGTCGGTGGCGATGATGATGATGATAGAGAGGAGATGAGCTTGCCTGGATGCTTTCCCGTGATCACTTCTAGTATCAGCACTCCAAAGCTATAAACATCGCATTTCTCATTCACTTCCATTGTATAAGCGAGCTCTGCAAAGCAATGAAGAAAGGACAAGAATAGTAAAGAGAAATCTGTCAATGCTATTTTTTCTAACAATCATTATTCCACATAGCCATAGAACACAAAAAGTGAGGACCAAGAGGTACAAAAAATTGAACATTTTTGTTACTTGAGCTAAATTATCTTTAATGAACGAGAAATTGGAGATGATGTTAATCATATATCGAGGCAGGATTGGTGAAATGAAGGAATGCATCTAGTATATGGTGTAATCAGTGTATTCCATTAAGATTGAAAGAGAAGTTTTATAGAACAACTATTAGACCTGAATTGTTTAAAATAATAACAATTAAAAAAAAAAAAAAAAATACCTGGAGCAGCATACCCAAAGGTCCCCGCGAACGAAGTCCAATTTGAAGTGTTCGGATTTAGAAGCCTAGCAGTGCCGAAGTCAGAGATGTGAGCCACATATTCAGAATCTAACAACACATTCTTGCTTGATATGTCTCGATGGACTATAGGAGGCAAACAATCATGATGCATGTAACACAAAGCATCTGCCACATCTTTAACCACATTTACTCTCCTAATCCAACCGCACTCTGAGGCTTGTGGGTCACTGCTCAAGATCTTCTGCAAACTCCCCCCTTCCAAGAACTCGTAAACCAAAAATGAGTGTCGTGGGTGTGCACAAAAACCATAAAGCTTCACAATATTCCGATGGCGTATTTCTGTTAATGTTCGAATTTCACTTGTAAAACTATTTTCATTAGCCTGGTTATCATCATCTTCCAGGGCATGAAATTTCTTCACAGCAACTTTTTGACCACCTGGCAACTGAGCTTTATAAACACTTGCTGATCCTCCCACCCCAATGCAATGATCAGAGCTGAAGTCCTCTGTCGCTTCAATGACGTTCTCATATACCATTTTCCCATCATAACTCCATATTGAAAGCAAATTATTCTGAGTGTAATTTGCTCTTCTTGGCTCATTTTCTACCCTGCCGACTTTCAGGTAAAGTAGATAGAAAATCCCAACAACCAAAAATGAAAGAAGCAAAATGCCTAAAGGAGGAACTATAATCAAAATCGGAAGTTTGTTGCCATTCTCCCCCTTATTAGCCTCATTGTTCATTGTGGGTGCACAAGCCCTCAAACCAGTGGCATTGCCGCACAAACCTTTATTATTTCTGAATGCATAAAAAGGAGCCTCTTGAAATGCTTTATTTTTCGGAATAGGACCCTCTAACTGATTGTATGATACATCAACAAAAGTCAAACTTGGCATACCATCAAAAGTGAAGGGGATGGAACCAGAGAGCTTGTTGTGGGAGAAATTCAATGCTTCTAACCTTCGCAATTGTCCAAGCTGGTTTGGTATATTCCCTTTTAGTAAATTGTGGCTGACATCAAGATTTTCAAGGGAGTGCAAATTGCCTAGGCGAAAAGGAATATCTTCATCAAGAATATTTCTGCTCAAATTCAAGTATAATAGTTTCACGAACTCCCCCAATACTTCAGGAATTGAGCCACTTAGGTTATTTGCTGCCAAATTAAGACGTCCCAAGTCTAACAGTTCACCAATTTCCAAAGGAATGTTTCCTGAAAGTCTGTTGTTGCTTAAATCAAGTTTTATCAATGAAGTTAACCTTCCTAAACTCTTTGGGATTTTTCCGACTAGACGGTTTGAAGAGATGTCAAGTACACGTAGCTGAGTTGCATTTCCCAATTCAGGTGGTATCTCACCAGAAATATTGTTGTTGGACACTCTTAGGCTTGTTAGATTGTGGCACTGGCCCCATTTACCAGAAAGCTCGCCGTACAATTTATTATCACTTAAATCGATATAATCCAAGTTTGGATATATGCCGAAATCTTTTGATATATTTCCAGAAAGTTGGTTTCTTTCAAGCCTAACTCTGAATAAGCTAGGGCAACTCTTCAAGCTGTTAGGGATTGGACCCGTGAGATTGTTGCCAGATGCACTGAAATTTGCAAGTGATCCACCACGGCATATGTTATGTGGTAAATGACCAGTAAGCTTGTTCTCACCTAATTGCAAGCTTTTCAAATGGGTGAGATTATTCAACTCTGTAGGTATAGAGCCAGTGAATTTATTGTCGAACAAACCTAGATACTCCAGGGATTTCAGCCTTCCTAATTCTGGAGGGATGGAGCCGGATAACTGATTTTCGAATAAATTCAAGGTTAACAGCTTGGTCAAGTTCCCAATAGTGGATGGAATGGATCCGGAGAGTTTGTTTTTGTTGAGGTACAATTTGGTTAAGTTGCCTAAATTCCCCAAGGAAGTGGGAATTGAACCCATGAAATTATTGTCTGCCAAGTGGAGACCAGTGAGAGATGTGAGTGTCCAAATTTCTTGAGGGATGTGTCCTGAAAGTTTGTTGTTTGCTAGAGACAGAATGGTTAAGTTGACCAAGTTCTTTATAGAGGCAGGTATTGGACCTGAAAAGTTGTTCCTAAACAAACTGAGAGTGTCAAGAGACCTCAACCTTCCAATTTCTTGAGGGATGGGTCCAGATAGTTTATTTCTGAGAAGGATTAAAGTGGTTAAGTTGACCAAATTTCCTATAGTAGTAGGAATGGAGCCAACTATATTGTTTATTCCCAATTGCAAATCTACAAGAGATTTTAGCCTCCCAATTTCGGGAGATATGGATCCAGAAAGTTGGTTTTCATAAAGATATAGAGTGCTCAAGCTGGTCAAGTTCCACATTGTTGCAGGGATTGGACCTGTGAGATTGTTCGTCGCGAGTGATATCACATTGAGAGACCTCAATTTACCTATCTCAGACGGAATTGTTCCAGAGAGATAATTTAGGGACAAGTCCAGATAAGTGAGCTTGGAGAGGCTAGTGATGTGCTTGGGGATATTCCCTTGGAGTGAATTGTTAGAAAGATCAATGCTGAGAAGATGAGGGAAGCATGAGAAGTTGAGAGAGTGAAGTGTACCTCTTAAACCAACACTTGGAAGGCGTATGTGGGTGACACTTCCATTACCCGCCTTTTTGCAACCAATCCCAACCCAATTGCAAGGGCTGCTGCTGCTGTTTGGAGCCCAAGATGAGAGAAGAGATTGGGTTTGATTGTCAAGACTTGCCTTCCACTTTAAAAGAGCCACTCTTTCCTTTTCTCTAATTGGAGCTGCCCAAGTGAAATGGGAAAAAGAAAGCAACACTGCAGGGATGATGATGGAAATGAACAAAAGTTGGAAATTAGAAAGAAATTGGTGGTGGAATTTCATTGTGGGTAATTTGTTACTATGAGCCTACAAGAGAGGGCAATGGTTTGATGGATGATGAAAGGAGAAGGTATCAATTGACAGAATACTTTTGCTTAGTAAAGTCTGGCGCCGGGCTTTCACTTTTTGGATCTTATGGAAATACGTATCAAATTGAGAGATCACCTCATCTAGCTGGCTTCATTGTCTTATATGGATATTATACTAGATGTACTCTATGACTATATATATATATCAATTCAATTCAATCACACACGTGCCTACCTAACCTTTGCTTGGAGGGATTGAAAAGTCTTCTGCAGCTCCTTTCAGATTTTGGATCAAGCTGAGTTGAGTCACTATCATAAGGATAAATTAGACTCACCTCCCCTATGGTTTGGTTTGTGCATATTTCACTTTTGATCTTTATTATTTTAACATCAAATTTAATTAAAAAAGATTTATCAAACTGAAACACTTTATTATCTTTATATTTAGTTATGGATTTTATGAATCAACTAGATTGTCAAAAGTAAAAAAAGTATAAGAATATAACAAATTCTAAAGGTCATAATTTTCAGTCAACAAGTAGTCACTGAGCTTATTCCATATGTATGAAAAGAATGTAATGAGTTCTACACCTGTGTCCAATTTGCTTACGAGATTTGAGTTCGTTTAAAAGACAAAATTAGATTCTTTCGTGAAGTTTTAATGAATTTTAGTAGTGTTTTTGCATTATTTTAAAATTCACATGACTTTCTAAATTAGTTTGTTTTGAATTTCTCACCTAGGCTTAGTAGGGTTTCAAAAGTCTTTAATTGGAAGACGTTTAGATAGCTTTAGAATAAAAGGCAGGTTCCTTAATTGGAAGAGTTTTTGTAAGGGTGGCAAATGGTCGGGTTTGGACTGGGTTGAAAATGGGCGGGTCAAATATGAGTCAAGACTCGTATTCAATTCGCTAAGAACGAGTTGAAAAAGGACGGGTTGAAAATGTATAGGGTCAACCCGCTCTGACCCGTGGACTCATTAATTATTATTTTTTATTTTTTATTATTTTTTAAAAATTATATTTAAAAAATGTATAGGGTCAACCCGTTAAGACCCATATTGATGTTTAAAAAAAATTGACTCGTGAAACTCGACCGACCCACCCAAAATATTGATATTTAAAAAATAAAAATTTCTTAAAAATTTTGATGCTTACAAACATGGAAAAGGAAAATGTAATTTGTATATTTGTAAAAAATAATAATAATAAAATTGACCAGTGAAACCCGCAAACCCGCTCAAAATATTAATGTTTTAAAAATAATTTTTTTAAAAAAATTTTGATGTTTACAAACATGGAAAATGAAAATGAAATTTGCATATTTGAAAAATTAAAAAAAATTTGACCCGTGAAACTTGATTGACCCGCCTAAAATATTGATGCTTAAAAAATAAAATTTTGATGTTTACAAACATAGAAAATGAAAATCTAATTTGTATATTAGTCAAAAAAAAAAAAAAAAAAAAAAAAAAAAAACGACCCGCCCAAAATATTGATGTATAAAAAATAAAATTTTCTTAAAAATTTTGATGTTTACAAATATGGAAAAAGAAAATGTAATTTGCATATTTGAAAATAATAATAATAATAACAATAATGACCCATGAAACCTGACCGACCCGTTAAAAATATTGAAATTTAAAAAATAAATTTTTCGATGTTTACAAACATGGAAAAGGAAAATTTAATGTGCATAAAAAATAAAATAAAAAATGACCCGTGAAACCCGCACAGCTCGCCCAAAATATTAATGTTTTTAAAATAAAATTTTCTTAAAATTTTTTATATTTACAAACATGGAAAAGGAAAATGTAATTTGCATATTTGAAAAAAACAAAATAAAAAATTGACTAGTGAAACCCGACTAACCCGCCCAAAATATTGATTTTTAAAAAATAAAATTTTCTAAAAATTTTAATGTTTACAAACGTAGAAAAGGAAAATGTGATACGTATTAATATATATATATATATATGACCCATGAAACCCGCACGACCCGCCCCAAATATTGATGTTTTAAAAATAATTTTTTCTTAAAATTTTTTATATTTACAAACATGGAAAAGGAAAATATAATTTGTATATTTGAAAAAAAAAAAAAAAAAAAAAAAAAAAAAAAAAAAATCTCTTGAAACCTGATCGACCCACCCAAAATATTAATATTTAAAAAAAAAAAAATTTCTTAAAAATTTTTATGTTTACAAACATGGCAAAGGAAATGGACATAACCCATTTTGAGTAGAATTCAGGCTGGCCCAACACAACCCGATTTCGAGTTGAAGTTGGGTTGGGATTGGACTGGGTTGGGCCAGCCCAACTTACAGCCCTTCGTGAGAGAGGGAATTTTATATAGAGAAATGAGTTGAGTGTAATATAGAATGGATGTATATTGTGTGTCTATTATGTGATGGGTGAAATATGGGTTGAATATGGTACTCATCTTAACCCTTAAATTAAGTGATTAAAAATTACCCAACTTATTTTTGACCCATCTTAAATATGGTTCACCCACAATCATTAAAAAACGGGCGAATATGAATGGGTTGATAGGTTATGACCCATTTTGCCACCCCTAAGTTTTTGTCATCTTGATACCCGTTCCTGCATTACACAAACATTTTTTTTGTAGGATATTTAATTTTTTGTGTATTAAAATGTGAATTCGAGGCAAGATTTTTCTATTGGATTTAAATTCAATTAATTATTATTTAAACTCACAATATAACATTCATTAATTAAGTAAACTTAAACAAATGAATATATATATATATATATATATATATATATATATATCAAAATTTTAATTTATACTTACAAAATTATACTTCTTTTTAGCAATTACTACTATATAAATATAAGATTCAATGATTTAGAACTTAAATGTAAGTTTTTTATTTTTATGATGGATGTGCAGAAAAAGAATAAAAGTAAACTAGAAATGAGAACATTTATGACATGGCTGAAGTGGCACCAATTAAAGATAAAATAAGAGAAGATTGGTTAAGATGGATGGCAATGTGCACAAAAGACCTTTGAAGTACGTCACTTAAGAAGAGTGCAAAGTGCAAAATGCGAAGACAAAAGTTAAAGTGGTTAAAATTAAGCAAAAATGATATGATAACATGTGATTTGGCTGAAGGCAGGGGTGATACATAGCGCAGAATGAAAAAAATATGATTAATCTAGCTTATCCCAAGTAGTACTTTAGAGCACACTATTTATTACTGTACATCCAACAAGTGATAAAAGTTTCGAATTCTGACATCGAAAAACTAAATGATACATTAACTAAACTTAAACGAATATATATATCAAATTTTTACTTTATAGTTACAAAATTTTATTTCTATTTAGCAATTACTACTATATAAATAGAAGATTCAATGATTTAAAACTCAAATGTAATTTTTTTTTTTAGGGTAAAGTTTTGAAAAATAAAATAAAATAAAACCCTTAAACTATTAATTTTTTGCAACTAACGTGCCTGAACTAAAAACTGTTCCCCTAAATTATTGATTTGTTATAATTAAAAACAAATCTATCACAAAAGACTATTTTACCTTTTGCTATTAAATTTGTCATTTCTTATATTAGATAAAGGTAATTATTTACTTTAACCAGCGTTTGGTTAGAAAACGCTGGTAATTGCGAAATTTAGTGAAATTTTAATTGCCGGAAAAATTTGGCGCTCCAATATTATTTCACTCTAATATTATTTAGCTCCATATTTGCTAACTGAGATAACTGTACCATTTATTTCTAATTTACCATTTTGCTAACTATTGAAGCCTTCGACCATGAACCTGTTCTGGCCGTCTCTCATCTGCTTTACTCCATTTCTCAACTGCTAGAGCCGTTATCCTCTTCTCTGTCTGTTTCAGACCTAATCGAGCCCCCTTTCTTATATCGAAGCCTTCACAACGTTTCTCTCTCCTCTACTCTCTCTCTTTCTTCCAACCGTCTTCGACCATGAATCTGTTCGTCGAATAAAGAGACGGGGAGAGAAAGGCATATCACAAACTCTCTCTCCGTCGATCCCCATATATCTATAGGGTTGGTATTTTAATCATTTTTTTTTCTAAATCTATACATATGTGTGTGTGTGTGTTTTTGTGTATTGATCAGTTGTTTAATCGATTCCTGATTTTTTTTTTTTCATTTGATAAATTCATAACTCATCTATGCGATTTTGATGTTAGAGTTGGGCGGAGGAGTTCAATTTTTGAAGAGGATGCCTACGAGCAGGCTAGGGATTTCAATTTTGTTGATGTATTTACGAAATTAGGGTTAGGGCTTTGATGTGTAGTACAAAATTGGGGTTAGGGTGGGGCGACGACGCCGGTGAACCAGGTGTGGCAAGGCACGAGTTTCAGTGAAGCTCTAGTATTCCGGCAAGGTATGAGTTTCAGACAGAGCAACGATGGCACCGGAGGAGGAGACTCGAGGATTAAGAAGAGAAATGTAAGATTCTTCTGCCTATTTCTATTTTTGTAGGTCTAAGTTACGATTTTTAGATCTTTTTCATTTTTGTGTGTTTCAGTGTAGCATATTTTATTTTATTTTTAGTATTTTTTAATCTTTCTATCGAGAACATTTATACAAATTTCGCTGAAATATATATATGTATCATTTTCTGTGCGTATCGGCCTTGCCGACGTCGGAGGAGAAGTCCAGCATTGCCACCGCCATTCGTCCCAGCCCTACACACCTCAACAGGCCTAGGGTGCGTGCGCTCTCTCTCTCAACACAACACTAACATCACCTAACTGTAGGAAAATATCACATGTTCACTGACTGATAAGTGAAACAGAATTGCAAAAATAGGTACTTCTGAATTTTTGGCCTCATTCCAATCAATATTTATATGCAAAAGTGGGTCCAGAATTGGTTTGTTATCAACCCCAAAATTTTCTATTTTGTTATATTATCGCGAATTTCATCACGGAAAAAATTAACATACATAATTTTTTTGTTTGATGGACTTGTTTTTAAGATTCTTATGGAATTGCATAGAGAGAGGAAAGAGATTCATTTGGTCTGGGATATTTGTAGGTTGCTGCATTTGAGTCTAGGTTTGTGTATATTGTTTTTTGAGGTACATGGTGGTGTTGGAACATGCAAGTACAATTTGGTACATCCCTCTTTGATATATACAGTATATTTTAGGGGTTTTGGGTTTATAATTCTATCAATTAATCCTTTGATTTAATTGGTTCCTTTTTCGGAATTTTTGTCTGTTTATCCATCAATTAATGTGTGTGTGTGGGGGGGAGGCAGAAATTTTTTTAGGGGGGGCACATTATAGTACTGTATATCATACCATATATTTATAATATAATGTACATGTATATAAGTCAATATTTATGAGTATATATATAGAGAGAGAGATAATGATATTTTTGGAATGAAATTAATTTATAGATATAGAATATAAGGATTAAAGAAACAATTTAGGATAAAAAAAATATGAAACATGTATAGAATTCTACGGAGAATGAGAAAATTCAGGGGGGGCACTTTCCATATTTTCATTAAAAAAACATATATATTATTATAAAATATATATAGAATATAAGAGAGAGAATTCAAGGGGGCACGTGCCTCTCTTGGTCCTTAATTGGCTCCGTCCCTGGGGGTGGGTGTGATTCAAGGGGGGGTGGGTGTGATTCAACCCTTTTTTCTCAGTTAAGTTGATCTTGCAATGACAAGGTTAATTTCTGGATTAATTTTGATGTGCTTTATCTTGATTTGATATTTAATTACTTTTGCTTTCATTTTGTTGCAACTGTGCTATTGTATATACATAGAGACATCCATATTTCATATTTAATTACTTGTGTTTTATTTCTTGATTTTCTTTTCCCATTTGTTAAAAGGGATATATTTATGTTGAATGGTTGAATGTTTTTAGTGAGTGATTAAAGTCTTCTTCTCAGTCTAAACTGATCTTGCAATGAAAAGGACAATTTGTGGTTAAATTTTGATGTGCTCTATATTGATTTCATATTTAATTACTTTTGCTTTTATTTTGTTGTAACTGTGCTATTGTATATACATTCAGACATACATATTTCATATTTAAGTACTTCTGGTTTAATTTTGTCACAATTTTGCTATTATATATACATTTAGACATACATATTTCATATTTAATTACTTTTGTTCTTTATTGTGTGTGCTAAATTGCTAATGTATATATTTGGATCAAATTTAGATGCTATATTTACCTGTTTATTAGAAGGATATATATTATTAATTTTAGGAGAAATTTTGTTTTGATTTTGTGTTCCATCCGTTAAAAGAATAACTTACAATCTTATTATTTGGATTAAATTTTTACCCATTTATTGTTGCTGCTTATTGAACATATCAGAGTGGCCTAGCGGTAGGGGTTCAAGTCTCAAAAGAGACAAGTGTGTGTGAGTACCAACTTGGAAAAAAAATAATAATAAAGAAGATTCTGTGTTCCGTTTCTTAAAAGAATAACTTACATTATTGTTATTTGGATTAAATTTTTACCCATTAATTGTTGCTGCTTATTGAACATATCAGAAATTTAAATTGTGTGTTATTGTATATTTCTTCCTCTGTGCCTTTCGACCAATATATATATATATATATATTCGTACGTTCTTTACATATTCAGCCAGTATTTTGCTCAAATCCAACTTGAAGCTAAGTTGGATTTCTGTCAGGGTCCATATGCTTGGAGTTCCACTGTAATTGCTATTTGTAGCTTGTGTCTGAACTTTTAGTAGCTTATGTTAATCTGCCTAAAATAGAACTTCTGGTTTAATTTCAGGGAAGTGCTCTGATTTCAATTCTTGATGGAGCAGAAGGCTACTGCAATTCAACAAAGTAACAGGCTTCGTCAGGAACTGGTGAGGGATTCATATATGACTTTATTCTATACTATTTTATATTCTTCTTTATTATTTTTCTTATAATTACATCATGCATTCATGAGTTTTTAAGCTGGAATACTTCTAATGTCCTTTCAACATGGTATCTTTGTCTTCCCTGCCTTTTGTCCAATTTATTTTTTCAATGTTTTGATCATCATGTATATCTTTATATGAATATCTATATCTATATCTATGTGTGTGTGTGTGTATATATATATATATATATGTATGTATGTATGTATGTATTTTTGGTGTCAGTGATTTAGCAATAGGGCATAAGGCTAGAAATACGCAAGTTACATTCTATAAAGAATCATTGTATGGGATAAAGCAATTTTTTGAATACCATTAGAGGACCAAACAGCTCTATAATAGTCCCAAAGCCTATGGTGATTGCTGAAGCTATCATAAGCATTCTTAACAGCAAATGGTTTATTAAAGGGAGCGCAAACCAAGCTATCCACACCTGATCGAGGAGGTGCAAGAGTTTGAGATATCAAATTGCCTATTTCCACAACATTTGTTCTTTAATTGTTCTTTTTCCCATAAAGTTTGGAATTCAGTGGCTGAGGCAATTTCTCTTAACTGGCATAGCATGACGAATTTGAATGATATTATTGCTTGGACTTCTGCTAACTGTCAAGTTAAGAAGAATTGGTCCCATCAGCTGCACAAAATTTCCCTTGCTTCATTGTTGCTCGTGATGCCATTAGGATCACTTCTCTCTATATTGGTTGGGGACTTGATGGTAATGTTTCATTAGATCATGTTATGAGTTGAATGTGTTAATTTTTTATTATTATTATTTAGGACTTAAATTGAAACTAGTTTATACTTGTCCTGTTTATTTTTAGGCTCAGTTTGGATTTCATCGGAACTGAAAGGTTTGAATGATGATTGTGAGCACTGCGAGAGTTTTCCTCCTGGTCACTTATACTAGAGCAAACAGGGAGGCCTTCGCCAATGGTACAACTTCTCTGAGGCTATTCCATCAACGCCATATGATCCACTTGATCTATAAGGCGTGCTTTTGAAAATGTTAGATTCACGAACTTTTTACCATTATTTATAAAAATTATGAGTCATTTTAATCATTGGCTTTTTACCACTTGTTCAGGAAGGTTGACTATGTATGCTTTATGAATGTTTGAAGGAGGAATTATGGAGTTGTATTTGTTCCTTGTGAAGTAGGAAGTTGTACGTGTTGGTTGTGATCTTAGAAGTTATATGCTTTATAAGAGTTGCAATATGTGATTGATCATATGGTCTAATTTGCGGGTGAGGATCACGTCCGGTGAAATAGTGTGTCCTTTACTCCATTTTGAAATGAGTGGTCCAGAAATGGTCATGTCACCCATGTTTAGGATGCACAGTAGGAAAATATTGGGATGTATTTTTACTTACAAAAATAGAGGAAATGGACTACTGTGCAATTGGAGGTGATCATTGTCCCTAATTGGCATCTATTCCAGCCACATATACATATTGGCAGTAAACAAATGTTCATTAAACAAATAAACAAATATAAAGATAACAAACAACATGTTATTTACAAAGGGGAAATTAAAAGAAATTAAAAAAAAAAAAATTAAGATTGGATACACCAGCGTTGGTAAAGGGCATTTACCCGCGTTTCTTTAAATTGTTTTTATTATATTTTCTTTTTTAAAAATGTTAATTATATCATTTATCTTAATTTTGTAATTAGTATCAATTGATTATAAAAATGGAAAAAGGTAAATAAATTTGTAGCTATCATTTTTTAAAATGATTAACTTATTATAATAAAACTTATTATACTCACTTTAAAAAAAAATTAGTATAAAAAAATATCTTCTTTTTCAAACAATATTCATGAAAAATTAATAAATTACGTAAATAAAAAATATCTTATTTTTAATGTAATATATTCATGAAAATTAAGAAATTATTTAAATTGTTTCAAATTTTTCTATTTAAGATTTTTATTTAAATAATTAATTTAAAAAATTAAGAGCAAACTTATGCAAATTTAATGGAGAATATTTCATCAAATTAGTATGAATTTTTTTCATAATTTATTTTAACAAGAAAAATATATCAAGTGTAATTCAATAAAATAAAAAATAAAAATAAATAAAAAATAAAAAAAGGTATTACGGTTATTTAATGAAAAATGGGTAAGACAATGGAGCATTTTGCAACTAAATGTGATAGTTTAGGAGGTTTTATACACAAAACATAATTCAGGAGGGTTATTTGTAAATTTAGACATAGTTGGGGGAGGTTTTTTGTACTTTACCCAATTTTTTATGATGGATGTGCATTGAGAAAATAAAAGTACACTAGAAATGAGAACATTTATGACATAGCTGAAGTTGCACCAATTTAAGATAAAATGAGAGAAGATTGGTTAAGATGGTTGGCCACAATGGCGGATCCAAGGGAGGACTGGGCTCCAACCCACCTATATATATATATATATATATATATATATATATATATATATATATATATTACTATTGATAAATTTAGCCCAGCCAAAAAAAACAAAAAAAAAAAATTATTATTATTATTGTTAACCCACCTAAACAAGCCCAAGTCAGTTAAGCCTACTAAAATAAAATGCCTAATCCAAACAAGCCATAATACATGACTTAGATTGATATTTTGAGCCCATGCCTATTATCGACGAATTTAAGTCTTTAAAGACTCGTCGATCACAACTTAGATAGATATTTTGTAATCTTTGAATTCAAATATTTATCTAAATTATGTTATTAAAAAAAAAAAAAAAATGCTTAAGAAATTGGGTTATTAAATTTATGTTTAATTTTAGCCCACCCCATTGTCAATTCCTGGATCCGCCTTTGGTTGCCTATGTGCACAAAAGATCTTTTAAGTATGTCACTTAAAAAGAGTGCGTGACATGATCCATATTAAGGCTAATGCTAGCAGAATGTGAAGACAAAAGTTAACGCGGTTAAAATTAGGCAAAAATGATACGATAACATGTAGTTTAGCTGAAGGTAGGATGATACATAAGTGAGATATATATATATATATATATATATATATATATATATATATATATATATATATATATATATATTGGGGAGATTGTGAGATATATATTTTTTAATTGACTAATTTCATTGTTAAAACAAGTCCGATCGAGTGGTAATATTTCGGTTCAGAATTTCGAGATTGAAGACCGGACGCGGATTTGAAGAAGTTCAAGTGTTTATACTTTAATACACTCCGGGATAATGAGAACAATGTTTTAGAAATGTATGTGAGTGTGTGAGAACTGTGAAATTGCAAGAGTAGAGAAAGAGATGATACAGTGAGAGGGATAGATTGATGGAGGTGTAGCAGTCTCCTTACCCTAAAAAGAGTAAAAAAAACGTATATATGTGCAAATACAATAATGACAAATTACAAAATGACCACCAACCATCCTTAATTACACTTTGACCCAATATATATATATATATATATATATATATATATATATATATATATATATATTCCAACACTCCCCCTCAAGTTAGAGAATATATATAATATAATCACAGCTTAGAGCATATAGTTCTTAACCGATTATGTCCTAATGCTTTGATGAACATATCAGCTAGTTGATCTTCAGACTTTACAAAGGAGTAGAGATACTCCCACTTAATACTTTTTCCTGAATGAAGTGACAGTCAACTTCAATATGTTTGGTCCTCATGGAATATAGGATTGGATGCAATGTGAACGACCGCTTGGTTATCACAAAATAATGGAATATGAGCTTTGACTTTCAACCCAAGTTCATTTAGAAGATGTTGTATCCATGACAACTCACTAGTGGTATGAGCCATTGCTATGTACACAGCTTCAGCACTAGACCGAGATAAAATTATTTGTTTCTTACTTCTCCACGTAACAAGATTCCCTCCTACAAATTTGCAATAACCCGTAGTAAACCTCCTATTAGAGGGAGATCCAGCCCAGTCAGCATCTGTAAAACCTTCCACATTAAGATGACCATTAGATTTATATAGCAATTCAAAACCTGGAGCTTACTTGAGATATCGAATAATTCGAAGAACAACATTCTAATGTGGTACTCTAAGAACACTCACAAACTAACTTACAACACTAACTGCATATGAGATGTTAGATCGGGTGATAGTGAGATAAATTAATTTCCCAACTAGACGTCGATATCTGCCATGGTCGTCAAATAAATCGCTGTCATCAAGCAATAATTTATATTTGGATCCAAAAGAGCATCAGCAGGGCAACTACCTAACATACATGTTTTTTTCTAATAAGTCCAGCAAATATTTGAGTTTGCCTAAATCCTTTGTGTGGAACCGATTCTGCAAGAATAATTTCAACTTTGCGAAGCTGTCAGAATCATCACCAGTTATAACAATATCATCTACGTATACCACAAGAAATATAAAGCCAGTTCTAGTGTGCTGGTGAAATACCGAATGATATGTCTGGCATCTGTGAAGGCAGAAGGAAAGCACCGTGTGATACTCCTTGATTTTAGAGCCACAGGTGATCAAGTCCGAGCACAGATCCGAGGGATACCAAACAATTAAGTATATAAACAAGCATTGAGTACAAAAGAAATAAATAATAAAGAATACTTAAGTTGAAAGAAATCTAAATAATAATCCTTAAAATTTTAATTAAATAATTCAATATTTCAAAAATCTCTAATATTATTACAACTCGGGAATTCATTTAGTGAACCCCTAATAATAACCCAACTGGAAAAAAAAAAAAAAAAAAAAAAAAAAAAAAAAAAAAAAAAAAAAAAATTGAACTGAAAGAAAATCCAAAACTAAAACATAAAGAAAAATAATCCTACGTAGTAGGAAGAGTAAGTGACTGTCTCTGCTCGGCAAGAACAAGCTCTAAGACTGGAACTGTCGAACACCAGAAAAATAATAGTGGGTCAGACTCACGAACAAATTCTACTCTACTACAAACCAAACAAAGACCCGATACATATATACATCCTAGATAACCCAACAATAGCTAATTAGTCTTTATATATATACACACACACTATAGAATGCTCACTGGACTATAGGTCTGTCTCAACCTGAATAGAAGGCAACATACAAATTGCACATAAATTGCACAAATTGCACATAAAGTGGGCACAGAAAATGTATATTAATATATATAATATACTGTATGTGACTACATAAAAATATAATTTACACTTACATATATACATATTTCCCTCTACCAAAATTCACATTTCTCGAATTTGGTATATAACTGGTGTTCACGAAGTGTCTGCAATACTGTGCGAAGATGTCTAACATGATTGTCCTGTCTTTGAATAGATCAAAATATTATCAATGAGGACAATGATAAACTGATCTAAATAAGCCCTGAAGACTCTATTCATTAAATCCATGAAGACTGCTGGTGCGTTAGTTAATTCGAAAGGCATGACACGAAACTCATAAGAACCATATCTAGTGAGAAACGTTTTCCTAGGAACATCTTGCTCCCTAACCCAAAGTTGATGATATCTGGAACGCAGATCAATTTTAGAGAAGTATGTAGCTCCCTTTAACTGATCAAAAATATCATCGATCCTGGGTAAAGGGTGCTTGGTACGAATAGTAACTTTGTTCAACTCCCTGTAATTTATACACAGGCAAAGTGAACCATCATTTTTCTTTATAAACAAAACTGGTGCTCCCCAAGGTGAAGTACTCCTCCAAATAAAACCCTGACTGAGCAATTACTGAATCTGATCACTCAGCTCTCGTATCTCCACTGGTGCCATCCTGTATGGTGCTCTAGCAATTGGCGTAGTACCTGGAGCTAAGTCAATAATAGAGTCTATCTCACGACTAGGTAGCAACCCTAGAATCTCTTGAAAAACCTTTGAAAATTCTTGTACAACTGGTATGTGATCCAGTGACACGGTAATCTCTTCCTCAGTCTCCTCCTTCATATAGAACAAATAAGTGCTAGTAATCCCATTAGAACGTGGCATAGTGACAGCGTACATATCCTGACCAAGTATAGTGAATACAATAGACCTATCATAACAATTAACTTGGGCATGGTAGTGAGATAACCAATCCATCCCAAGTATCATATCATAAGTGTGCATGTCCAGGACCAATAGATTGACTAAAAATCTGAGTCTACCAATATCTAGTATCACAGGTCCATCACTCTTATATAAAATGGCAGTATCGCCTACAGGTGTAAAAATACCATGAGG